TAGCCCCACGTATTTAGGGCAAAACAAAACAATAATAGAAAAAAAAGGAGTGAATTCTCTGTCTGAAGAGGTTAGAAAAAATTAAGTGTGATTAGTTATTAAAGAATGGAAAATAGCATGAATCATTCCACTGATTGTGTGATGTGGGAGATTCGACTGGCTTATTTTAAGTGGCTTTGAAAGCAAGGATGCTTGGTATCTATTTATCCAAGCATGGGTCAAACTCTTTGATCCTCCGTGAGCTTTCTGGCTATGAAGGCCCCACCCCAGCAGAGCACACAACTCCTCAAGGCCCTGACTGGGTGGAGGGGTGCCATCATTCACAGCAGGTGAGGGCCTCAGATTTAAGGCAATGGTTAAGAGCTCAGCTGCTAACCAAAAGGTCGGCAGTTTGAATCTACCAACTGCTCCTTGGAAACTGTAGGGCAGCTCTACTCTGTCCTATAGGGTCACTATGAGTCAGACTCGACAACAACGGGTTGTTTTTTGCTCTCAAAGAAGACAGGGGCTCAGAGGGGTCCCATCAGTGCCTCTAAATGCCATCCCCGTGCTGTAGGTACAGCAGAAACAAACACCTTGCTGGCTGAGGTTTTAGCAAACTGTCATACCTCGCAGAAAACAAAACAAACAAAACACCTCACTAAACCCACTGCTGGCATTGACAATGTACAGAAATGGCTCTTTCCTCATCCCATCCTCTTACCCCCGACCAGTGATAAACACCATGCTGGGTAATTGCATTGTTAGCGTGTTCTCAATAAGGACGCACACAGAACACTTTGCTATTCGGTGATTTACCCCCATTTCAGCCTGTGCAGTATATGCCACCAGTTACCGACAACGCTGGAAAAATGTAAAGCAATAATAATAAAACACCAACAGTTTTCAACAGTCACGTTCCCCAACACGTACATACACACACCCGCACCCACACGCACGCACTGAGGAGGGAGCTCAGGTGAATGTTACCCCAGGCACATAAATTCAGCACGAGGAGGTGCTGTCCCAAAGAGCGAGCGTATGTCCGTCGCAGACCCGTGACAACCTGGTACAATGACGACAGCACGTAGGACGTGTAGGTGAGGACTGCGGACCAGCTCTGTGCCTACGAGCGTCAGCATTCACTTGTCTTTTCATGGAATGAGAAAGGTAAACACAGGTTCCTTCGGTGATGGTCATTTGCTTGCACGGCAGATTTTTCTGCTGTTGCTGCATTAACGTTATCTGAATAAGCATCTTCATCATCTTCTTCCCTCGGACCACGCTCCAGGCTGTGTCTAATGCCATAGGCAAAGTAAATCAGGAAGCCTTTTTCGGGGGAAAAAAAAAATTAGTGTCTTAGGTACGTCAGGCTATAACTGTTTTAATATGGA